GACATTCTATTCTGTATTCAACTAACCAGCCAATCAAACTGCATTTGAGCTCACAAAAAATAGCTTTAGGACGAATAAGAAGAAGAGCAGCTGTTGAAGAATTTATGAAAACATTTTAATATTGTTCAATGATGTTGGACAGATGAAATTCTTCATTCGCTTATTTATTATTTTATTTCTACTCGACTTGCGACTCTGCTAGCAATACTATGTTGCTGATAAGCATTGCTGAGACCATGTTTAATATTATTAAATTAAAAAGTAAAAACGGGATGCAGAATATTGAAATGAATTGGATAATATGGCAATAACTTAATTTGAATAATGTGTAATTTAAAGGATTTAATTCAATTATTAATAAATTAAATTTAAAATCAATGAATTCGGGAATTAAGAGGAAAATGGACTAAAAACTTTAACAATTCATCTTATAGGTCATTTATGAAACTCGTATGAATGTTTGGAAGAATTAAAATTGATAATTTTTAAAAATAATAAACTTAAAATAAATCTATAAATTTTATAAAGAATAGCTGCATATAAAATTTAATAAATTTTTCCATCGCTGCATGAATATTATGCTCTATATTCCATTTTTATGTACTCGAAAATTCCACCTTTACCTTACATTCAAAATTAAAACATAAATCAAAACATTTCGTTACGTTATACACAAAAAGGATTTTCATTTCTTCATTTTTTATGCGAACTCGTACAGACAATAATGTAACATATTCATATTCTTCATGGTTCCGAAAATGAGCTCAAATTCCTCCCGCTTTGCACTGATTTGTGGCAATTTTTTATTGTTTTTGTACTTTTTCTTCTTCAATTTTCTTTTCCTTTCACTTTCAGCTTCCAATTTGAGTCTTTTGAGCTGTATTTTGTGGATATTGAGGAGATTTATTTCGGTGATTTGTGAAAAATGATGCGAAAAATGATGCGAAATTTTAAGAATGAAAAAATCGTCAAACATTTCAATTTGAATCTTTCGTTTGATAAAGATTTGATTTATATGAAAATATTTGTAATTTAATTTTGATTTGTAAAATAAGACAATTCAGGCATTCAAAAAATCAATAAAAATGCGCTCTAATTCAAACTTCAATCTTTAAATCAAGTCTATGAAAAATTCTTTGTTTTCGAACCCCTCTAAATTATTTTATTTGAATGGTTCATATCACATGCATGATGATGCTCTTTTATCATCACAAACAATACACATATCCGCTACCCTCGCTAAACTAAAGAAAGAAGAAACAAGAAAAATTGATAAAAGTGAATAAAATGTGCGTACATGTGCAAAATAAAGTAGACTCGTTAAATGTATGGTACATTGAACCCTACTAAAGTAATTTTAGAGTCTTTCAGAATTTTCCATCCTTTTTGTTGCACATATAAAGGAATTTATATTCATATAAAACTCGATTTTGATTCAGAGAAGTGTGAAAATTTAATGTCTTGATTTATTAACTTAATCATTGTACATACAGTTATGGAACATAATATTCTGCATCTTCTCCACATTATCATGCAATTTATGTACGAATAATGGAAAATTATTTCATTTTCTTGCCAATGTAAATTTTTTTTGGAAAATCTTCAATTTTCATTTTGTGAGTTTAAGGAAGTGAAAATGTCTGAGAAAGGGAGAAAGATGAAGAATTTTTGGCAAGTCACTGTTATTAGTTGAGATTTTCAAGCTTCATGAAACTATTAAATTCATCATCTGTAAATAAATCATTTCAATTGACTTAATGGGATTGGGAATTGTGTTTCTAAATTAGATTATTGTTAAATCTTGCCTTGTTTTGTATTTTAAGCAATTTTGGAAAGGAATTATGACAATTGCTGAGATTTGAGGTTGGTTTTGATGTTTTTAAGAAGTCATTTTCTTATTTGTCGACGTTGCTGTTTGAATTAATTAATATTTCACAGATATTTTTGTCTTATCCAAACTCCTGACTCGAGATCCAGACCAATTTTCCAATTGAACATTCCAACTATCGAACTTCATGATTCTAAAGCAATTTTGAGTCAATATTCAATCAATTTAATCAATAAAAACTTTTACTTAATTGCTAAAGTACTAAGAGTCGTTAAATCAATCAAATTAGCCCTTTGTAACTTCCATCAATCCTATAAAACAAACCAAAAGCTTCAAACAAACCTCAAAAGTTCAATTCATCTCATCCTTCATGCCAGAGCACTAAAAGCTGTTTCATTTAAATTAAAATTTGAATCTACTCTAAAGTATTTAATTATAGAAATTGTTTATATATTTTAATCTGATGTTTACATGTAATTTATAACATGGACGTCCATTTCGTAATATGATAAATGAATTTAATCAAAATCACGTAGCTAATAGCAACATTTTAAAGAACAACTGACCATAGAGAGAAATTTTCATTTTCTTTAACCACATCAAAATGAGATTTTTTTTCCTCATCTCATCAAAATGCTCCTTTTTTCTACAGTAACCAACAGGTATAATATGTAGAGCATGCATGTATATTTAGTATCATATCGTGTGCTATAAAAATTTACTATTAAAAAGATAAAAAATTATTCATGTAAAGCTATAAAAACTTTCTCATCAACTTAATTTATAATTTTTTTTATGTATGAGAAGTTTTAATGAATTTAATTTCATCTATTTTTAATTAATTACTTTTTTAAACTTTATAATTTTAAAAGTTTTCAGTATTTGTTTCCAATTTTTCGTACATAGTTGCTTCGTATGCTGAGATACACAGTTAAAAATCCATTCAAATAGGTGGGAATTGCATGTTTTGAATCTGAAATCTAATAAGCCTTGATTGCACAGTTCTCATAGCGTTAATGAGAAATCTTTGGAAATCTCTCAATTAAGAATAGAAGAACAGTTCAAATTTAGACTCATTATTCTATCTTTAAATAAAGTTTGAAGCTTAATCTCGTATTTTTAAGACTCAATATTATAATTACATGTTCAATGTCAATCCTTTCCAGAACCTTACTTGCACACAAGATCATTTTATCTCCAAGAAACTGCTTTCTTATGAAGAACTCCTACTCTCATTATTGAATTTCCATCCAAAGATCTGTGTAGGTTTATGAAGAGTAAGATAATATAAATTAAAGTAATGAGATGTATGTGGGATGTCACCAGTTTCACCTTAAATTCCATTTTTATTGTCTTCTTTTCATCCAACCATTTGTTCATTCTTCCTTTAAGATATATAAGTTCATGACAATGTTCTTGAAATTCTTTATATTGTCAACTTTATGTAATGTCTTTTAGGTGGAATTCATTCATCACATTACTTATCCATTTGTCAAGATGGAAAAGGGACATTTTTGTCATAATCCTACATGGATTTACTAAAAGAAATAAGGAAAATATTTTTCATTCGTATTCTTAACGAACGAGATTCAGAAGTTTCTGGATTGGATGGATAAAGCGCACTATTTGGATTTACTTTTACTTTTTGAATGTTGAATTTAGTACAGAACTGCTGAATTCAGCAAAATTTAGAACAAAAACGCTGAATTCAGCATGACAAATTGTGAAAAACTGCTATCAGAACGTCTTAGAATCAAGCTATACCCCAAGAATATGAACAAGGAATGACGAAAAAAATTGTCTGCAACTTATTCCAAAAAATGCCATAGAAAGACAGATGAAAGAAGGTGGAATAAGGGAAATAATAATGCGTAAATAATTGATGTGATCTCGAATGCCTGTCAAAATGTAAATCTTATTCCTTAAATTCCCTCTACTCTAAACGTTAGTCAGCAATCTAAGTATGTGCCGCTATTTAGTGTAAATCACGTGTAAAAATTGTTTAAAAAGAAATTTTTCTCTGGCATTTGATAAATTGAGAGGAAATTGCATGGATCAATGAACGTATCAGTAAGTAAGGTTCTTTTGTTGGGAGGTAGAAATGCTGGATGTAAGCAAAAAAAATATCAGCATCGTCATGATTGTGGTTTTTGATACAGAAAGCAGATGCTGAGGGAAGAAAATTGTCATTTCCTTTAGCTGTGATGGAGCAAATGATGTTTTTGGGGATGCTTTGGGATGGTGTGAATTGTATGATTTAATTTCTCTTAAATTTAAACTGAAATTTCGAATTCAAATTTTTAAGATCTATATTCAAATTTACAAAACCCGTTAAAATTTGAATTTTTAAAATCCGTTAAAATTTGAATTTTCATAATTTAAAGTTTACTTTAAATGCGTCTCTTCTGTTTTCATAAGATTTACCATCGTGTTTATCTAACCAGTCGTCCTTTCATATTCTTCATCGACAAGCGGAATTCGTGTAGAAGGAAACAATTTCCTGATATGAAAAAGAAAGTTCTGGTCAAAAGTACAACGACGATGATGGTGATGAAAAAATCTCATCAATTGCCCTTTCTCCGTACTTGTTCGAAAAAGATACATAAATTGCATTTTTCGGCTTTTTTTTATTACATTCCAAGCCGGAAGGCATAAAATGTAATTTTTTATTAAATTGTATCTTCCTTTATCATCATAGACATTTTTCTTTAATATCCATCTCATAATTTCTTCTTGGAATATGAGAAAATTTTTCAAATAATATGAGATATAATTTAATGTGGACCTGCCTGTGGCCTTTTTTGTGTAAATTTTTAATTCATTGGATGTTCTGAGTTGAATTGAGATTAAATTGCATTTTATATCAGAAGCTTTATGAGATAATATTCCATTTACTGGATTATTACATTGATTTACTATGGAATTGGATTATCTCTAAATTCAATGTTATTCAGAAGAATTAGGGGTCGTTCACTTATGACCCCGAAATTAACGATCATTTATCAAAAAAGAACAATAGATTTCCTGGAATTTTTATTGTTCTTTTCTTGATGACCCCCACCCCCCCCCCCCCCCCCCCCCTTTAAAATAATGAAAACCGATTAGCAAGGTTCAAAAACCGATTGAAACTTTGAAAAATGCAAAACCGTTATAATTTCCAAAACCATTCAACAGTTTTATAGGTTAAAACAAATTGATTAAAGCATAATGTCGTCTGTAGAAGCATCAATTGCACAAGGTCTGAATGTTCTTGAACATTCCATTTACTGCTGCTTTCCAGAATGTGAGTTCTTCAAATGCAGCAACATGAAATGGTAAAAACAATGAATTTATTTAAGTTGCCAAATAATATTTATCTTTATCTCCAGTTTATTGGATCATCTTAGAGAATGTAAGCCGAAGCATTCAGCTAATTGCGTAGTTTGTAAGGAATTATTGGCTCTAATTTGCAGACATGCTCGATTTTGCTATAATCAGCACTGTCGAATTCCTTATTGTACAGTGATGAAGGATAACATGGATTACAGCGAGGATTCAGACGTTGAACCTGTAGATGTGGCAGGTATCAAGAAGGTAAAAAACATACAATTAGCATTTTGTGTACATTTTTAATATAATTTTTAACATTAAGGAAATTATGGACAATTACCGAGGCACTGGAAGCCGTAAGGTCAATACAAATTCTTTTGAACCACCACGTAAAAAGCGACGTCTTCAATACCCATCCAAAGTAAAGAAGGAATTTGGATTTTCTTCAACACGATCGATTCCGTTGCCTGCTTTTTCATTTCCATCACCAACAAAATTTCCAACTCTTGCCCAACATTTGACTGACAAAACAGCACCAACAGAACAAGATACAGATATGAGACGTTTTGATTCTCAACCAAGTACATCAGAATTTAATCCACAATTCCTGTTTCCTGCTGACAGATTGAATGATGCCTACAATTTATATTATTCGACTCAAAATAACAGCAATAACAGAAACATTTATGCTGCAAGGAAGTCTTCGTACTAAGAATTCTGGAAATTCATTCTTTTTTTCTTCTGTATCATCAAGTTGGTGAGTTTTGAGGATGTCTAGCGCATTTTATTGAAACTAGTCTTTTACATATTGCATACCAGTCTGACAGAAACTCAAAATCACTCGCAAATGCTCTAAAAGACATCCAATAACAAACAAATAAGGAAGAAAATTCTCCCAAAATTAAATTTTTCTTTGTCGTTTCTCAGCCTTAAAACAGACATGAAGAAATGGGAAAAGAAATCTTTTGGGATAAATTCAAAGTTATGACGTGAAGCATATTTTCTTACAAATTTATGATGACAAGATGCGATGGAAAATATGTTTTTATATACAAAAGTGAAACGGATGAGCCTGAAGTGCGACAAGATGGGGGGATGAAAGGAATGGCTTGTTTTGTTGCTGCAAAATTGAATTTAGAAGGGAGGAAAAATTGAGTTATGACTTTAGTGGTTTTATGCTACATATTTACTGGATGTAGTTTAGCCTTAAGTTTCTTTATTGAATAAGAAGTTTTGACTTGCTGTAAAATATCATAAATATTGAAATAAAACACAGTTGAGTTAACAAAGTAAATTAAATTTCATCTATTTATCAATCATATCCCATCCATCATTAAATAATGATTTACATTGCATACACATGTAATATCCATCAAACTACATCCTATCCCATATTTTCACTCAATTATAAGGAAATTTTAAAGAATAATTGTCTTATTTCGATTTAGCTGTCTCGGCTTCTATGTATCCATCGTCATGTGATTCACTCATTCGAATTTTCTCAGCCTTTTCACCCTGATTGGAAGAAAATTAAGAAATAGAATTTAGCGTTTTTTTTTTGCATTTAAATTTCAACGGTTTTGTAAAATTCAAATAGTAATTTCTTTTGAATTTTACAAAACCGTTATAAATTCAAACATCAAAATTCCGTTAGAATTAATAAAACTTACCTTAATTTGCTGTCGGATTCTCATTGCCCACGACATGCTCTTAAGTCGATATCTCTCTTTAATCTGTCCTTGCAGTTTCTGTGGTATTATCATGATTGTTGTCCACGTATTACCAATAAATAAGAACAGGAATAAAATGCTGAGTACGGAAACTTGCCACGGAGCATCTTTATGTTTCGATAAATTATATAGCGTGTAGCTATTGTATGCTTGATAAACATATCCGCCAATAAGGAACGGCAATAGAAAAGTCAATCCCTTCCACATCCATGAATGAAAACCTTCAATTGTTATGTCCATGTCGTGTCGTTCGCCAAGCGCTTTAAGTCTATATAAAACTCCCTTTTGGTAAGCAAATTGGAGATACTGAATGAAACCTGTGCGGATTAAGCAATTGGAAGGAGATTAAGTCAGTTTAATAGCTTTAATTTTAGAGTACTCACTGATGTAGACATTAAAGTACATGAACTGCGTTCTGAATAGCTGCCATATTTCGCCTTGTGGCCAAATAAGTAAAACACCAGCACAAACAGTAGATATAAAATGATGCATTCGCCACCAGCCTTTAATTCTCGATCCATTAACTTTTAATATTGACTCACGAATCGTCAATGTGCAATAGTACCAGACGAGTAGGAACATAAATGCTAATTCCAGTGCACGAAAATTTATCAGTAAATTGAGTACTGCCATTGTTAATCCAATAATATTGAGAATAAATTTAAATTTCTCATAATCATCTTTGTAACGAACTTTTTCAGCACGATTGAGAATTGAGACATTCACATTGCCGAGAATAATCTGTTTACGGATGAATTAAATTGATTATTTCAAAGTCCAAAAAAATATTTTTTGTTACAATTATAGAATTTTTAACTACCTTTAAGTATAAACTATTTTTTTGTGGTAAGCTTTGTTCAATTTCATGCAGCTGTGCCTTTCGTTTGAGCATGTCTTTGTCTAGTTCCTCAAGTTTTGCGACATCATCGCTACTTTTTTGTTTTAATGCTTGGCAATTTCTGAATTAAGATTCAAATAAACAAGCTTGAATTAATTCAAAGTTTAATGGATTTAATGAGATTAAGTCATTTTGAAATTTTTATATCAATTCAATCAGGTTGAGGCAGGGTGGTTAAAAATAGAATCTGGCCTTTTTTAAAAAATATGTTTACGTGTACAATGTGTGGCAGAATTCATATGTTGGCAGATAATATATGTCACACATTACATATGTGCACATATTTTATGTGTGATGTGTGCACATATTTGATATGTGACACATTATTTTGTGTCACATATGAAAATGTGTGCAAGTTATTGATGTATAACCAAAACAGTCAAATACTGCATAAAAGAGTTAATTTTGTCGAAAATATGTTCATCAAACTGTAATTTCAAACTAATTTGACCATAAATATGTGTCACACATCACACATTTTCGTACGTGTCACAAAATAATGTGTCACACAACAAATATGTGCACACATCACACATAAAATATGTGCACATATGCAATGTGTGACATATATTATCTGCCAACATATGAATTCTGCCACACATTGTACACGTAAACATGCAAAATGTGTTGGATATGTGTACATATTCTGGAAAATAGAATATGTTTTAACAACCCTGGGTTGTTGTAAAGTAAGTCACGAACTCAATATAAACGTTAAAATTCAAAATTTACAAAAACCGCTAGAATTCAAAATTTACAAAACCGTTAAAAAATGAATCCTTAAACAAACCGTTACAATTCAAAATTTACAAAAACGTTGGAATTCAAAATTTCCAAACCGATAAAATTTGAATATTACAAAACCGTTAAAATTTTAAGCCTAATAACCTGTTAAGAATCACCAAAAAAAGCAGTAACAACTCATTTATCAAAGCAAAGTACACCGAGAGCACTTTAAAAAAGCGTCAAGTTATGCTAATTCATACTGTGCAAATTCGCATTAACTAGTAATTGGTCTTGCAACATTCACGTGCGCTCATTTAAAATCATTACATTTAATCATAAATCACATGAAAGAGATATGAATGTTACTGGAAATGTTCACTTTGCTATCTTTAATCACCTTACATACGAAGTTTATCATTTAATCCCATGAAAAATGTAAAATTAGACATTTGCAGAGAGAAGAAATTGATAACAGATAAAAACTAAGCAGCGATAGTGAGAATTCATGACAAGAATCAAGATAAGAGAATCAATTTGTCCAAACTTCACATTTTCAACATCTAGCTGAGATTTTTAACAGCCAATAAATAATTAAAAATTCGCATTTATTACACAAAACGTTCCTGTAATAGCTGAATACTCATGTGTTGATCAATAGTCATTAAAATTTCATCCAATTTTGACACATCAAAGAAATTTTTTGTTTAAATGACTTTTCTCACCTAAAAGTTTTTGCAATTTGAAGCATGCGATATCGTTGATGTGATATATCCTTTGTGCATTTTGATTGCATTTCCTCGAGTCCATCAAGTAGTTCCAAGTAACTTTTATTCACATTCTAGAAGATTTTTTTATTTTATTGTGGACGGAAAAGATTTTGTTTTCATTAATCATAATTTTTTTATGGATTTTTCAATTATCACCTCAAGACTTTTATATTCATTCGATAGCTCATCCCACTCTCTAATTAAAACGTCTATTTCCGACATTATACGACGCTTAATTATACTACTTTTGCACAATATTTACTAAATGGACTGCGATCAGACACACAACAACAACAACAAACCGAAGTTGATTGCCCCGCAAAATAACATCAACCACGAGAAAAGTACAGAATCTTGCGCAATTTAAAGTTTTATGCTTGAATCTACTAATTTATTGACTCTGTTTGATCTTTAACTGTTAAATTCTTCCTGTTTTAATTATAATTGTATAAAACTAAGCATAATAAATATTAATTTTTGTAAAAAACAATTTTTAAAGAACTTTGGATTAGCCATAGTAAAATATTCAAAAAAATCTACAACGGTGATTTTCACAATCGCGTGATTCAACATATTTAACGGTTTTCTACTAAAACATAATAATTTTTTCTCTCAAAAGTCTTCACAATTCTGCACATTGGCGCCTCGACGAGCATATAAAATATGAATGAAATTATCAAGGACATAAAAATATCGAGCAATAAAATTTTCAATAACCATAAAACGTCAAATTGATATGGATTTTTCATGTTGACAAATGACAGCATCACAACAAGATAATGTACTGCAGGATGGCATTTATAAAAGTTAGATTTATGTTATTTTTCATGAAACAATTAAGCTTACCAAGATAAATGCTCAAGCACATTCTAGCAAGAGAATTCCAAATGCGATGTGATAAAAAATTCATTAAAAATCCGCTAGATTTGTTATGATGGCAGGCGTAAATAATCCATGCAAAGGCATTAGACCAGATAATGCGATGTGTTGCCTCATAAAGTGCCTCGGAAAATTTAGATTTCTCTTGAAATCGTATGAATTCTATTAAAGTTAATGAAATAATAGAAGCTGTCCATCCAAGTGCTTTTAAGTTCTGAGAATAAGATAAAAATATATATTTTAACGGTTTTGTAAAATTTAAATATTAACGGTTTTGTAAAACTTAAATGTTAACGGTTTTGTAATATTCAAATTTGATTTTCCGTTAATATACCTGATCAATTCCTTTAGCATCCTGTTTACTTTCCAAATTGTATCCAAGCATGATTCCAATAAACCAAGGCATGAATCGATAGTACGCTTCATAATAAAATTCTTCGTGAATATCACTACAACAAAAATAAAACAAGCTTTAAATTATTTAAAGACACAAGTACCTACATCGTTACCTGAGCTTATGAACAAAAATGTTAATTTGTCCCACGACGATAATAAAAGCAATAATCTTTAAAAACTTCCTTTTAAATTTGAATAACCCATAAACAATTGCAGGAGATATGATGAAAAGTTGGAAGTCAGTTGATGTGTACCATGTATGTCTAAGACACTGAAAAAAAAAAATGATAATAAATGCGAAGATAACATGAATGTAAAATTTAGAAACTCACAAAATTGCTATTAAAATTTCCCACAAGCAGTAAACTTCTTAGCCAGTTCTTCTTACAATCTTCAAGCTCTTCTTTAAATTCTATTGTTTGTGGACCATTTGCAAGCTTTTTCGGCCACGTGCTCATAAAAAATGCAATGATTATGGCTAGTACTGGGAAAAATCTTAGGAATCGAGCTGTGCAGTGCTTGATAAATGAGAAGTTGTGTCTGAAAATTGAGAAAAAAGTGTGATTTTTAACGTATTATTGGAAACCAAACAACAGCAAAATTTTAGTGAACATTTGTAAGGTTTGCAATTTTTAACGACATTTTAAAATTCAAATCTTAGAACCATTCAACACAAATCATTTTAGAACATTTGTGTGGTTTTCATACTTACTCTTTAAACAGCCTCAAACATTTTACAGCAACCAGCAATCCAGATATGAGAAAGAATGTGTCCACAACAGAAGTAAACATTTCAGAAATTCTCAGAATCAATCTTTCCTCTGAGGACATAAATTCTCGTATTACATTAGAATTTTCACTTATCATATCCATACGATGCCCAATTATTATCCATATTGCTGACAATACTTTCAGTCCATTTACACATTCAATAGATCGTTCATTAATGGCATATTTTGAAAGGCACTTGAAATTTTCATAAGCAGAAAATGCTTTGAGGAATTTGTTGTTGAACTTCTTTCCTGGAAAAATTTCAATTGATGGTTGTTTGTGGACATTTTGAGGTAAAAATACGTAAAATTTTGAAAGATGTCAAAAAATTGTATGAAAAAAGATGCAAAAAGCTATAAGAAGATGCGAAAAGCGATACAAAGATGCAAAAAGCGATACAAAGATGCAAAAAGCGATACAAAGATGCAAAAAGCGATACAAAGATGCAAAAAGCGATAAAAAGATGCAAAAAGTTATAAAAATGTGCAAAATGCTACAAAATGATGCAAAAAGCCTATAAAATTACGAATATGTTTTAAAATTCTATAAATCCGTTACAAGTAAAATAAATCAGCATGAAAATCAAAAAAATAAACGAATTTTACCTCGATACTTCAAATCAAAGTATGTACAAATGGATGTGATTAGTATAAGAGCAATAAATGTGAATCTAAAATGAAAACAAACACAATAAAAGTAAAATGAAATTTTCATCATAATTCAATAACCTCTCACAGAACAAAAATGTCTAGTACATTTATAGAAAGCTTTTCCTTTGTCTGACAATAAGAATTCAGCACAATGATATCTGTCTCTTTGAGATGATTTCTCAAGAAATTTTCAATTTCACTCATCGAGCATGAAGATGGAAGACAAATCCCATTTTTGAGTACAAATGTCTCTTTCTCTATTATCGAATCAATTTCGTATTCATTCGATGTATCATCAAAATTATGAGATAATATGGATGAATAGGAGATGAGACAGTGCTGTCCTTGAATTTCGGATGAGTTTAAATTTTGTTGAAAATTTAAACAGTCTGTGAATGGTCCGAAATTAAGGAGGTTTGAAATCAAAGGTTTTGATGAGAATTTCTGCCACGAATCCAGCACTGGAAAGATTTTTTGGATTTAATTTCATATTTTGTTTTTGAAGGAGTCGTTCACAAATGAGGTTGGTCATATAAGTGACTTTCTGTTTTAAACAATATTACGTACGTATTTTTACATAACGGAAGGCACTAACGTACGCAAAAACTCACTTCGAAATGTATTTTGGCTAGTTTGAGCTCAGGAAGTGATCAATCATTATGATTTTTTGGCAGATAATTTAAAATAATGGCACACATAACTTAAACTATAAACAGCATTGAAATATTAAGAAATTAGACGACAAACAGACAAACGAACAAACAGACTCAATAGAAAAATTCACTTTAATCTTTGTAGCCCCAAATAATGAACGACTGCCAATTTATCCACAAAAAAAAATAAAACTCATCCACACATTTCACAGCCCACTCCTCATCCTTGATAAAGGATTCTCTGAAATATTCCAAATGACTTTCACACGACATTTCAATTTCTTTCATGACAAAAATTCAATTTGTTTCACTGTAAAATTTCACATATATGCATTTTCGGATATGTCTTATAAGATAAACTAAATCAATTTACATCAACTAATTCAATTCCTCAATGAATCTCTCTTCTCATCTCATCTCGCTCATTATTCATTATCATCAATTGTATGTGTGAGCATGAATTTATTCTCAGTAGCATATTTGATAATAGAATCGTGTTTGAGTAGCACAAAATTTCCAAATGTTTGCTGATGATGCAGCCTTTGTGTGAGGATTTCTCTAAGTAATTTATTGGGAATTTTGTTTGAAATGAAATATTAAATTTTATAGAATTATTTTCAATTTTATTTCCTTTACGTTACACATTTCATTTTGTTACAACACTCTGGATACTTGAAAGAATAATCTGGTGTCAATGTGCATCCATTTTTATCAACTGCAATACCACATGAGTAGTATGAGCTTGAAAAATCAGCATCACAAGTGATTTGTTCACACTGATCAGTCTTTAAAGTTGTTCCGACAAGGATGAGTCGATTGTCAATGTCACAGTATTTTTGGCAATTACTTCCTTCGCATTCTAAAAATATTGGGGATAATAAATTTTATGTTGAGGTAGGGTTTAAGAATTTTGGAACTGTTGATTTTTATAAGTTTAAGTCATATTAACAACACTCAGTTTAATGACTCAAACATCGATCTGTGATGCTAATGTAGTCTGCTGACTTTAATTTCACACCATTAGATTAGCTTTCAGATGATTCGATACCTTAGATCTCACTCTGCCCTAACAATTTAGAATCTATGCCTTACTTGTAACAATTTTCGTATTCCTATTGAACCAAGCTGCAGCATCTGATTCAAAAATGCACAAACTAATCAATAGCAAACAAAAATAAACTGATTTAGTCATCGTGGCTAGCGCTAGTTGTTGTTCTTAGAAAATTTTAATAAGTAATGGAACGAATTTCAAAATTAATGACAATTTATACGTTTTTTTTCATTCCTAGTAATCGTCTTAATTGAGAAGAATAACAAGTAGTGAGCATGAGAAACAGGTATTGAGCTTGGAAAAACCAAAAAATACAATCATATAAAGATTCAGAAATTCTCTTTTTTTATTCAACTTTCTCTCCACAGATTTTATAACAACAATCTGGATATTCTAATGTGAAATCTGGTTCCATTTTGCATCCATCTTCAATTGCAATACCGCAAGTAACGCCACGAGCTGTGAAATCTTTTGAACAGATAATTTCTGAACAATCCTTTGTCTTGAATGATTCGCCGGGTTTAATCAGCTGTCCATCGACATTACAATAGTCTTCACACTTTCCAGTGACATCACAGACTGGAAAAGAAACAAAAAAAGTTCAAAAAACTCTAAAATTAATCAAATTTACCTGTTTTATTTGTGTTCTCATAAAACCATGTAGCTGCATTGATATTAACAATAAAAATGTTTAAAATAAGAAACAAAAATGCAACTTTAGAGTTCAACATGTTTACTTGCCGAAAGCTAAGTTATTACTACAAAAATCTAAATGAAAAAAATAATTTTTTATCAAAAAGATGTGGAGGTGTTGGTTGTGCATAACATCAGAGAAAATATATTGTTGACGGTATTTAGATTTTTTTCTTTCAACAGGTGAGAACAGAGTTCACACACAAATAATAAAGAAAATAACGTCATCGCCACAGAATTTAAATGATAAAATAAATGTGCAAGGTCAGCGTTGTGTTATGAACTGATCGAGGTTGATATCAGGATGAGTAGGGTAGATAAAGGTGTCTCGAGGAGATTGAGTTGGTGTCAAAACCTGACAATGTTGCTTTTGAGGAAATCAAACCAAGAAGAAGCCAGAGTGCCCCAACCTTCGAAAACATATCAAAACATCTTTTGGGCCGTTCACTTATGACGTCCAACATTTAAGGGGGGGGGGGGGGGAGATTTAGGATTTTGTGACAGAGGGGGAAAGGGGGTCTAGAAACCATGTTTTTTAATGGACGTCATAAACGAACGGCCCTTTAACAAGTTTTTTATTTTAAAATTTTCTTTATTGAACTTTTTCATTACAAATTTTATAACAACAGTCCGGATACTGTAAATTATAATCAGGTTCCATTTTGCATCCATCAAGGACCGCAATTCCACAGGTAACACCGCGAGCCGAGAAATCGCTATAACAAAATATTTCTGAACAGTGTTTTGTCTTGAATGACTCACCGGGCTTAATCAATTGGCTGTCGACTTCACAAAAATCTTCACATTTTCCGTCATCGTCACAGACTTAAATTTTTTTTGCATATTTTAATTAATTTTAATTTTACGGTTGTTTTAGTTTTTACCTGTTTTCTTGGCATTAGGATTGAGCCAAACGGCTGCATTAATATTTATAATGAAAATATTCAAAATGAGCAATCTATACACAATGTGCGACATGTTGACTTGATGAGAGCTAGTTAAAAACTGATAATGCATTGAGAAACACAAAGTTATAGCTGTAGGTTAATAAACACATGGAAATAGGTCAGAACTCTGAACTCTCTGAGATGTTTTGAGTGCAACAAATGAGCTTAATGAGATTTTTTTAATTAAACTATTTATACAATTAAAGTTAAATTTTATTAAATTTCTTTGGTTTCAAACTTATCAGAAATGAACGTCTGAGCTTTAATTACATTTTATTGAGCTTATTTTATTTAATGTTCACAAAAATTATAGAAATCTAATTCAAAATCCTTGCTACATTTGATAACATTGCAACCACCACGATTCACACTTTGTCAAGGTCTTATTAAGGTTCCACTAAATTCACAATAATCTGTGCAGCCATTGTCATCGCAAACTATTAAATCTAAAAACTCAGACATTTTCTAAAAGTACAATTTCATTACAAATCTTACCAGTCTTCTTGCTTTTGGCATATGCAGATGAAATGATTAAAACAAAGAAAATTGAAAAGAGTAAAATCTTCATCCTATGGAGTTTGCTTTTCGTTCAAAGTTTTTAAAAAACTGTCTGTAACTTGATCTTCGATTGCATATTTAAACTGAAGATAAAGACTGAATCTAATATTACCACACAGAGATGTAGCCAGGACTTTTCAAGGAGATTTAAAATTTTTTAAGGACATTTCCATCAGGTTATAAACTTAACAATCAACTCAATAATCAATAACAATGATGTAAAGTAGAACGACCATTAGCAATGCCGATGACTTTAATTATTATCAGAAATATTTTTTGAACTAGATTGCAATAGTGTCATTGATCTACATCAGTGTTGTCCAAACTGTATGCCGCGTAAATGACACGAGACGCATGCTGTGTGCGTCTTCGGTCATGGCTTACGTCTAAGGTGTGCCGTGGCTCAAACACTCTACATAGAATGAACATGGAATATTTCTTGTCATAAAATTATCAATTTACCGATCATTACAAAAATTTAGATCAGATTTGTGTACGTCTTCTAGAAAATTGAAAATTCAAAAGCTTGTAATTTTTTTTAACATTTTATTTATAAGCATATAAAAAAGCATCAGTAAGCACAAACATTCACCAAGTAGGATTCAAAATCATTTCGGCAGTAGATTTTATTGCAACCATGACCAACAGATTCTCCTGGTCTTACAAGCTCTCCATTGATTTCACAGTAATCAGTACAGCCATTTCCATCACAAACTGACAATTAAATTTTATAATTATTATTTTACAAAAACATTTTTGGGATCGTCCACAAGGAAGTTCTTTTATGAACGATGAAAAAAAGTTCTTACCAGTTTTCTTTTCGCCAAAGGCAGATGAAAAGATGAAGAAAATGAAAAATGCAAAGAAGAAAATTTTCATTGTGATTGGATTGAATGTCTTTTTAATTCTAAAGCCACAATACTCAAAGTTTCTATTTAAATAAAGTTTATGCTAGCGAATAATCATTTATTTCTAATTAGAATTATTACTATTTTAATAGCTGATAATGCAGTTTGATGGATTGAACATTTATAAGTTTTTTTTAAGTTTCTAATCCATTTCTTAATACAACATTTCCTAGAACTTAAATTTGGTCTTAATATATCTTATTTAGCAGTCGAAGTATCTTATATAAGTTAATATGATCAAATCTAAGTAAAACATAAACTTAATTACTTCGAACAGAAACTTGACTTCAATCTACATTTTGTTCAAGGTCATCTAATATTCTGGTCACTTAAAAACCTTGTTTTAGTTTCACAATTAGGATATTAAGTCAACGAAAACTCCATCTTTGAATTCTCAAGCCAAAAAAATTAAGATAATTTGATAAACTTTAAAATTAAGATTAATGAGCACTAATCAAGTAAAATTCAATTAAATTTATCCTCATCTGTTGTTTAAAATTTCGTTGATTTAACTCACATAAATAATTATTAAACAAATTAACAATAAAAAATTCTTTTGACAAATTTTTCAAACGCACCACAAAAAACAAAAATATTTTCATTAAACTCCAAAAACTCGATTGCGTCTTGAGACTTTCATGAATGTAAATAAAAACATTGTGTATGTGACTTTTGTGAAAACAAAAACAGAAGATTGAAATTACATAAGACCCGGCTGGTTATTATAGTATTGTTAAACTTTTACAATAGCATTTTCATACATGTGTGTGCTTGTTGTGGCTTATCATACATACTCAAATATGCTTCGAGCAATACAAGATCGGTTTACATTCAGAACTTCTCCACTTATTAAACCACAAATCTTAAAATTGTTGACATTCTCAAATATTATTTTGTATTAAAATCTAGAAAATATTCAATACAGCAGCATGAATGAAGAGATTAAACTATAAAGAATGTGATCGTGTGGATTAAAATTTAATTTTGAGTGCTGCATGCTCAATACAATGATAAGAATTGTGGACAAGAAGCAATAAATACACAAGAGAGAATGTTCTGTGGCTTCTTTAATGTTTTTCTTTATATTTTTTCGAATATTTTAAAGTCCCAAAATGAAGAAGTTTTAAAATGTTTCTGTGAGAGAATTAATAACCTTGTTCAAGACAATCAAATTAAACTCAACATTCTCAGTTGCTTCCTCGACTGCGACGATTGTGTTGTAAAATTTCGGTTCCTCAAAATTTCTAATAATTCCTGTTTTGACTCAACAAGTAGCAGAAGATAGTGAGAGTTTAGAGAAAATTTTAAGTGATAACGAAAGTGCTTACGTTAGTTATTATTTAGAAACGTGAAGTAAAGTCGCATAAAATCAATAATCAAGTTCAAATTTTTCTTATCAAAATTGTTTTGAATATTTTATTTTATTTTGTAAAATAAACAACATGAGTTGGAAGATTTTAAGTCAAATTTCAAGATTTGCAAGCACAGCAACGCAAAATGTGACAAAAAGTGCTCCAAAAATATTGGATTTTAAACAAATTCCCGGTCCCAAATATTATCCGATTCTTGGATCATTAAATGATTTTATTCAGTTGGGTAAAAATGAACGGTAAGTTCCAATTCTGATAATGAATTATTCAATAATTTTTAACATTATTTTCTTTTTGTAGTTTTGATAAAAAGAATTATTATAAATCATTCATAAATTGATTTGAGTTTCATTTATTCATTGTCATTCTTCAATAGCTGCTCTGGAACTAACGAAAATAAAGAAGAATTTTTAAAAAGAGAATGAGAGAAAAGGTTCATGCTTTGGTCATTTGTACTGAAAACAAAACTTTAATTTTTTAATATTGAGAATTTTATTTGACTTTTGTATGAAAAAAAAAATGAGCGATTTCTAGGTTTTCGAGCAGCTTTTACTATTTGAGTCCAAATTCATTTTAAGCTAATGATCCTAAGATTCTTTAGGTTCTGATTAAACTTTATTAAAAAAATAACAATCAAGAATCATACTTCTTTGAGTTACCGTAGAAGTTCTTCAAACTCTTCATCACGAATCCCTCATCACAAATGACCAAGACATGGCAAAAATATGCAAAACTGTCTGCTTTACATGATCTCATATTGAATAATAGAAAAGCTTATTTCCTTTGTACTTCATGATAATACCAAATGTTTAATATCGAGATTTTTATTCTCTCCTTTTTTCCATTTATCAACTTGACAATTTTCTCAACAGATTCTCGCCTTTTTAAGTTCAAGCATTTTCTTACATTTATGCATGATGAGATAAATTTCAATTTCAATGATTTTTTTTTTCGAGAAATAAAAAAAAGATTGTGAATAATTTGTGTAAACTAAGGAAAGTGTGATGTAACATCCAGCTGATAACTCTGTTTATTCTCATTGCTTACAGTCTTATGAATTTTAAGAGATTCAAATTTGATGACAAACTTAATCGGCCTGTTTTACTAAAGTGGATTATCCTCGATTTCGGATTATCCATTTCAGTTTTTTGTAAATATCTTAAACTTTATGGGAGGTGTGGTATTTCTAATTTTGGATTATAAAAGAGTGAAGTATGCCTGAAATTTCTGTACACTTTAAACTTTTACTTTTCATTAAGAAGTATTAATTATTCAATTTTCTAGCCAAATCTAAAAGATTAATTTAAATTTTTGCTATAATTCTCAAACTAATGAAGATATAAAAAATTTTAGTATATGTTAATTTAAGTAGCAAAGTACTTTAAGGAGATCACACTTTAAATCTCTTAATAACCTTAAGCGACTGAAGATATTTCCGAAAAACTGAAGTAGATAATCAGAAATCAAGGATAATCCACTTTAGTGAAACAGGCCGAATATTTATTGAGATTTAAAAACATTCAAGAAATTTTATTCGAAAATGTTAAAGCTTTGATGAATATTTATTACACAGTCAACAAAAAATAGTTTGAAAGGAACCAGAAGTGAAGTTAAAGCAAAAGTAGAGCGAATCTAGTCTTAATTTATCTTTAAAGTACTGATTTGGATTCAAATCAACATATGCTCTGTAAAATCATAATGTAATGGGCTGTTCACTTATGATGTCCATCAAAAAACCTAAGTTTTAAACCTCCCTCTGTCACAAAACTGTCACAGATGTCAATACCTCCCCCCCTGCTACGCCCAATCAAAGACACGAAAAAATTATAATTTCCTGATGTAAATATTGAATGTCTCAAATTTCTTAACCCCCCCCCCCCCCCTCCTAAATGTTGGACATCATAAGTGAACCATCCTTACTGTAATGTCAAACGCTACGCTGGTTCTAGTAAAACTAGAAAGCAATATTGACATGTCACAACAGCTTCTAGTATGAATTAAGTCTCGGAAAGTTTTCTTTCTGTTGCCTTTCATCCCTTTGACTAATCCAAATTCAATGACTCTATGCAAGATCAACAAACACTTAATTCACTAGATTTTTTATTCCAAAAAACTTCTCATTCGTCCATAACATGAAAATCTGTAATGAAAATTCAATTTATTTCCTTTCCGATTGTGTAAACATTTAGTCATCAACAATATTCAATTACTTTTCATCAACATCATCATCATCAAGCATCATAGTCATGTCTCATTCAAAAAACTAAGAGAAAAGTAATCATTTCAGTGGAAAATCGATTTTGCAATTAATTAATGTGAATTTACCAGTGGCTTGTAGCTATCTGAGTCGGGTTGTTCATAAACTGTGCGAGAGACAAGTCGATTGGGGACAATAATAAGTGATATCAATTGAATAATAAGAGTTTTGGATCTCAAAGCTTGCGGTTTTAGGGTCTACCGCAGGAGCTTAGCTAAAGTACGTGATTAGATCAAAATTTCTGACTAGACATCACTTGTTAATAACCCACAAGCCCAGGACGAGTATAAATTTTTTTTTCAAGTTCACTGTAAATATTTAACGATACAAAAACATAAAAACTGCAGTGTTTGCACTTTCGTCTCTTTCACTCTTTTATTTCCCAACGATGATTCAAGATTCCTGCAAACAGTCGAACGTAAAGAATGCTCAGGGATGAAATAAAAATTAACATAAATTCTATCATGATGTAGCAATTTCTTCTCTATTGAACTGATTTCATTCAAGTCAGCATAAATAAATTCTGCAGGCATAAAAATTCAATTTTGTTGCCTTAAAAAAAAATCACTTTTATTTTGTAAATGTTGATTTTTTGTGGTCAGCGTAATTCGATGAATGAATAGCTTGGATTGTGAATGAACTTTTTATTTCTGCTGATTGTAGGGAATTTTTTGATAAATTCCATTTGAAGTGATTTGTTTTGGATTTATTTCGTGTACACGTGCATCATTGGCGCGGTGTTTTTTTGAGACGAAAGGTAAATAAGACATAAAGTGTGACAATCAGAGGATTTTCAAATGAAATAGTTGATAGGATCTTAAAAAAATTACAATTCTCTGACAAAATATCCATATCGATCTATTCATAACCGATCACATAGCTTAACAAACAAAACCCAAACATTTCCATTCATTTTTCTGATCTGAAATTATCAATCACATTTTAATCTATTTTCAATTTATTAAATCAACAATTTGCTTTGATATATTCATTTGCGGTCACTTTTTTATGCTACTCTATTCATCCCCATCTGTACATATTCCTGCTAAAATGATGGATGATAATGTATGCACAAGTTTAATATTTATCATCATCACCATCATTCCCTCTTTCTTTTTTTATGGTGAATAAAATTGAATTCTATGCAATTTATTACAATAAAAGTTCTCCCAACATGAAACTATCATCGTCATCATCATTACTGCTGATGTTATGGTAAAAATGCAAATTTAGATTGATGAATAACAGAATGGCGTTGGAGGCAATGAAAGAAAAAGAATTCATCAGAAAAAAATGGCGTGCATTATCATGCAATTGACAGTCATTCAAAATGATTGATGCACAATTTTTTTTGTGTTTCATTCCACAGATTGCACCTGACGGTAGATGAGATGCATCAAAAATATGGAAATATATTTCGTATTAGGATTGAGTCGATTGATGCTGTCTTCCTCAGCTCGGCTGATTATATACGATCAATATTTGCATACGAGGGAAAATATCCAAAACATCCTATTCCTCCGGCATGGCTTTACTTTAATGAAAAATTTAATATTCAACGTGGATTGATATTCATGTGAGTAAGCCTCTTTATTTATGGTGGAATTTAAATTTGGGTAAATTGGATGAAAAATTGTTCTTTGGATGACGCAAATTGTTGTGGATTAGATGCTGGGATATTTTAAATCGAACCTTAGTAGAAAATTGCTTGGTTTCCAAGGAAATTTGTTTATAGACACTTCCAGCATCCACACCTTTTTATTCATCAACATTTTGGTTAATCTCAATCCTCAGACATCAATTCTCAGTGTCAATCCAATGACAATTATGCCAGTCTTTACAGACATCATTATCTAGACATTTTACCCCACCAAATCAAACAATTAATCCTCATTTATTTAAATTTTAATAGGAATGATGAAGAATGGCTCCAACATCGTCAAATTATGAACACTTTTCTCTTAAAGGACATGAAATGGACAGAGTCGTTGATCGAAATGACATGCGATAACTTCATAGGCAAACTAAAGCGTATTCTCGACTCAGAGGATGCAACAGTTGTGGAAAATTTAGAAGATGAACTTTATCTATGGTCAATCTATTGTATGTAAATTAATTAAAATCCCAAATGACACTATAAAATATGTCAATATCCAATATAGCAATACTAAACCTCATGTTGGGTTCATCGACATCGCAGCAGAGTGACAGAGAGTTTGATGCAACGGTATGGGAATTTGTGACAATTGTAAAGCAAATATTTGATTCGAGCTCAAAACTCATGTCAATACCGCCACGTTTTGCCGACAAAATTCACATGAAAGTGTACAAAGATTTTGAGAATGCTGCACAAAAGTCCATCTCGATTTGTAACGTGACTCTACTCGTTTCTATTTAACAGAATAAAAAAAAACTTTTTTTTATTTCATTTTCAGCACGACGCTTAATATCAATTTTAAGTAATGATATGCAAAGCTCTGAGAATGGTTTGCTACAGAAAATGAGATCACAGCATTTGTCAGAGGATATGATAGTGAGGATATTTAGTGACTTGATAATTGCAGCTGGAGACACTGTAAGTACAGTAAATTTAATTCTTTTTCTCACTCTCTTTTGTTCTCATTATCTCCATGAGTGCCTTTAAACTTTTAATGATGTTTTATTGTATTTTGGAATTTACGATTCCAGTGCTTAAATAGAAGTCATTGTCATTTTTTTATATTGTGGAATTTTTGATTCCATTCTGTTGTTTAATGAGGAATTTCGAGAATTTTTTTGACTTTTTTGTTTGCAAAGCTGTAGCTCTGGGGAATGTTATCAGTTTGATGAAGTTAAAGAGAATTTATCGTAACTTTTGGAATGAGTGAATTGGTCAGTAACTTAAGGGGACTTTGAAATGACATCAGTGTACACTGGTGGGAGATCCTTGATTTTATATATTAATTGGTGTTCATTTTGTCAATCAACTCAATAAGCCACTGTGGAGTATTGAAGTCTATGGTATAACATGTATCTCTTTTGCTAGGTGCACAAGATTGTTACGACAAAGTCATATTTAAATGCAAGAGTATCATTTCTCCCAAACAGTCCCAAAGTGCTCCAATCATTCATAAAATCACCTTGAAAACTGCTAAAATAAATTTTCTTATAAAAAAATCTTTTTTTTTCTCATCAATTTTCATTCTAGACTGTCACCACACTCCAATGGATGTTACATTCAATCGCCAAAGATTCTCAACTTCAAGATAAGCTAAGAAAAACCATAACAGATGAACCAGGAAATTTAGAGTCACCCCTCATTCGAGCATCTTTAAGAGAATCTCTTCGCTTATATCCCATAGCACCATTTGTTGGAAGATTTATTGAAAATGATGCTACAATTGGCGGATATGGAATACCAAAGGGAGTTCTCACAATCGCATCACTTTATACGTCCGGTCGTGATCCTATGAACTTTACGGATTCCCACAAGTTCATTCCAGACAGATGGCTTCGAAATGGAGATCAGGGTGAACATAAAGTATTTAAATCGCATGCAACCTTACCGTTTGCTATGGGAAGCCGGTCGTGTGTTGGAAAGAAGATTGCTTCTTATCAAATTCATTGCTTAATATCCAAGGTAACCTCTCATCATTTATGTATGCTGAATATATGTATTTGAGACTTGAAAGGGTCGAGATTTTAAATTTTTTCCTCTTTCTGGTGTTAAATGAATGAATCTTTTGCCTTACTGTTGCTGCTTGAAATTTAATACTTTTTCCTAACACGTTTATTGCTTTCAGATCTTAAAGGAATTTACACTAGAGTCAAAGAATAAGGAGGATGTTAATTTCAAGTTAAAACTTATAGGGGTTCCAGACAAGAAAATTTTGATTGCTTTCCGCACAACAATGCCTTTTACTATAGACGTCAACGTCAACCCATAAAAACGGATAGATGAAGATGGAGGCCATAAAAATAATGCATAAAAAATTCAGCTCTCCTTTTGTGGAGAAAAGCACACAAAAAAAATTTAATTAAGTTTAAAATGTAATCTTCTGACTTTTTTTTACTTTCTCGTTTATTATTCAACCTTAATCTCGATAAATTGTTAAGCATCTTTTGCTTAAGGATCAGTTAATTCATAGATTATTTCAATTTATTTCGCATTTATTTTATGAGACCTTTTAAGGCTCAAAATCAGTGTTGGTCACATTTTTTTGGGCGATAAAATATGCTTAAAGAATTAAAATGATTTCTGTACCTCAATTGAAGCTATAAAGCAGCTTGAATATAGCTGATTTGAATTTAATTTAATATGACTTGTTGCTCATAATGACATATTTTTACCAATCTATTGAATGTTTTAAATAAAGTTTTATAATTTTTTACTTTTATATTACAATTTCATAGTTCCTTAATTTGACATTCCAAATTAGAACATTTCCATCAGTATCTCTCATCATCATCAAAGTAATGAATATGCTCGTGAAGTCTAAAGTTTGGAGAATAACTGGCAACATCAGAAGCATTCACAATTTCAGTTAAATTCAATTTTCTAGGTAACTTTTCTGTCAGATTCTTACTCAACCCAAATGGATGAACATCATAGATCATATATTGCAATGCATACATCTCCACTGGACTAACATAATGACATCCAATGTAGACATCAGAACAGCATTCAAGTCCACCTTGTGACACATTCCTCCATAGATTTCTCCAGTACCAATAATTCAAATCAAGTATTTCTGGCTTATTGACATGTTCTTCGATTCCAACTGGAAAAATTTGCTTTTGATTAAATGAATCCCGTGCATCAATAAAAATTGCATGCTCCTTCAAACACTTTCCAACCAAAAGATCATCAGCTTCGCCATCTTTATTATCACAAATTGAACTATTTGGTGAAATTATGGTCACAAATTTTTCAAGTGCTTTCTTTGAGAAAATGTGTCCTCCACCTACCATATTTAAAAAATTTAAAAAAACATCGTATCTTACTCTCATTCTCTGACTATTTACCTGCCATATATCCTTCTGGGGTATCTTGATAATCAACAGCAAAGCGATGACCAATGTAAATTGAGGTGCGTGGATTGTATTGATAGAGTTTGTAGCGAAGATTTTCCATTAAAATGAAGCTGGAATCATAAGAAATTTTTAATTTTTGATTACAAGGAAATCGATACTTTAGATTTGAGTTTTAAAACAATAAACTCTGTATTTGAAACCAAAAATAATCACAAAACCGAACAAATAAAGTTTCCTAAATTATTCAGGTAAAATCAGGACAAATTTTGCAGAAACTTTGAATGTTTTAATTCGCTTGATTATCCTCAATCATTCAGTAAAATGTATATGAAGAGCTCAACATCCGGAGCTAGAAACATGCTTAATTCAAGATCAAATTCTGAGGTAATTATTGAAAAGCATTGGAGATTTTTATCAAATCCGTAATTAATTATTCTTCCAATTCCAGGATCAATTACCAATATATCCACATTCAGAACTAGAAGAGAAGGATATATTCCTACGAGAATCACTTGTCATCGTTAGAAATCAGTCAAGACTTATGAAAATATATTTAGATAAAGGAGAATTTAAAGAAGGTCTTAGATGTGCAAGTAACTTTCTTGGAGAACTTAAAACAAGCTATTTGCAACCAAAAAGCTACTATGAATTATACATGGCTATAATTCAAGAACTTCATTACTTAGAAAATTATCTTTATGATCAATTTTCAAATTTTGAACAAACTGAAAACTTGTATCAACTTATGCAGCGTCCTGGAAACATTGTTCCTCGTCTGTACTTGCTTATAACAGTTGGATTAGTTTATATTAAGCATGATGGATCATTAACAAAAAGTATCATGATGGATTTAGTAGAAATGTGCCGTGGAGTTCAAGATCCATTACGTGGCTTGTTCTTACGAAACTATTTACTCACATTGCGTAGCATTTTACCTGACACACTACCCAGCTCCGACAGTGATGATGATGATGAATGGGGAAATGTCAACGACTCTGTTGACTTTATATTAAATAACTTTACTGAAATGAATAAATTGTGGGTTCGTATGCAGCACGCAGGGCATTCAAGTGAACGATCACTACGTGAAAAAGAGCGCGAAGAATTAAAAATTCTCGTTGGCACCAATCTTGTTCGTCTATCTCAACTCGATTCAGTGAACACAGAAATTTACCAGCGAACCATTTTACCGAGAATTTTGGAGCAAGTTATCAGCTGTCGGGATGCAATTGCTCAAGAATATTTAATGGATTGCATCATTCAAGTCTTTCCAGATGAATTTCATTTACAAACATTAGATCTGTTCCTAAAATCATGCACTAGATTGCAATCAGAAGTGAATGTCAAATCAATTTTAATTTCCTTAATTAATCGACTGGCTGCATATCATCAACGAAATGAGGAATTGCGAGCAGATTGGGTAGTTCCAATTAAAATTCATCTCTTTGATGTTTTTAGTCATCAAATTGCGGTCATTGTGAGAGTACGAACTGAAATGTCATTGGAAGATAGAGTCGGACTGCAAATTGCTCTTGTTAATTTCGCTCAGAATGTTCATCCTGATAAAATCGATTGTGTTGATAAAGCTTTTGAAACAACAAATCGACTTTTGGAGAATTTCGGGATTTATTCAAGGCAAGTCAATGAGGAACTATACAAATTATTATGGAAGTGCGTTGATTTCTACGATGACATTTTAGTGATTTTGATGATTAAAAACTTCTCAAAATTGATTTCAAAACTTGATTTTGGGTACCGTGAAGAATTGGCTCTGCACATGATAAAGAAAATTTTGAAAACAGAATCAATCATTCCAACTGATGATCAAGTTGATGTCATTCTTGAGATGTTGTCGCCGTTAATTCGAGATCAAAATGATGAGCCAGAAGACGGAATTACTTTTGAAGCTTTCTCAGAGCAACAAGAGATGGTTGGATGTCTAATTCATCAATTAAAGTCTGATGATCTTGACATGCAGTTTAGAATCCTAGAAGTTGCAGTAAAGCACTTGAAGTTTGGTCAAACAGAAAGAATCAAGATCACAATGCCAACAGTCGTATTTCAATTACTTAAACTTGCCAAAAAGTTCAAGAAAAATGATGAAAATTGGAATGAAAAATGCCAAAAAGTCATTGCATTTTGTTCTTTAACAATTGAACTGATTGCTAGAGCAGAACTGCCAGAATTGGCACTAAGATTGTATCTACAAGCTGCAATGGTGGCAGGAGAAATTGGCTTTTCAAATTATGAAGCTGTTGCATATGATTTCATGACAAAAGCATTCTTAATTTATGAAGAGAGCATTTCAGACTTAAAAGAAAAAGTTGCAGCAATAACAATGATAATCTCAACTACTGAAAGTATGTCATTTTTCAATGAAGACAATGCTGAGCCATTGAGAACAAATTGCGCTATAGCTGCATCAAAATTACTAAAAAAGACTGATCAATGTCGAAGTGTCCTCAAATGTGCAAGTTTATTCTGGAGTGGCAAAAATGACAACAAAGAGATCAGAGATGAGAAAAGGACACTCGAATGCCTTAAGAAAGCTACTCGGATTGCATCACAATGCTTGGGGAATGTAGTACAAGCTCAATTGTATTTGGAACTGCTGAACAATTACTTGCTTTACTTTGAACGTGGAAACTCACTGATTACTACATCAATGTTCAACCAGGTAAATAGTTTAACGAACTTAGTTTCTTAAAAATGTTAATTAATTTTATCTTCAACAGCTGATCACAAAAATCAATGAAGTTCTTCCAAGTTTGGATAAATCAGAGGAAACAACGGCCCTTGAAGCACATTTCCAAAGAACTCAAGCTCGTATCAAACAAAAAGCTGGGTTTGAGGTGTCGTTTTCCGAGATTAAAATTTAAAATTATTTTAAACTTAAAAATGTAATCTTAAGTATAACATCCATTGTTTCACATTTAAACATGCAGTCTAAAATATTCCATAGCATAAATGAAGTTTCAATAAATAAAATTTAAATACACCAAAACTTACTTGTCATCATCAGCTCTCATAAACCACTCAGCATCATTAAAATAATTTTCATAAACATATTTCATAGCCAGCCGAGTCTTGTTCCAAAGATGTGATCTTCCATTTAGAATCGGAAGTGCAATAATGTCTGGTTGTTCTAAATCAGCCTCAATGCTCATAAAAAGTAATTTGTTGCATTTTTTACCCCAAGTTTCTCTCACATGTGGCACCTTTGTTTTATGATTTGCCGGATGAGTAAAGACCCAGCAGAGGACACGAACTTCATTGAATAAATGATCTGCTAATTTGTTCTCGTAACTCACTGGATTTGGAATGAATTCCTCATTTTTGAAGTTGCTTAAAATATTTTTAACGTGTTTAAATTTATTTGCATAAATGCTATCACTTTTAATTCTTTGATTATATTCTGCTGTTCTTATGGAACTGTAAACATTTAGCATTAAAAATGTTGAAAATGCAAAACCGATTAAAAATACCAAAAACTCGGTCAAATTTATAAAATTATTCATGACTGGATTAAAGATCTGTACATGATAGCAAGACACACTTTTCAGATGTAAAAGTAAATATTTTTTTGAGCTGCGTCTGTTTTAAATTTTAGGTGATGAAGCATGAGTCTAAAACAGTGATGTAAGGTTTTAAGTCATACAACTGCTTAACACTTGTAAAAAATTTCAATTTCAATTTTGAGTAATTTAATTTTTCAAACAGTTTCAATATTTCTTAATTAAGAGAACCCTTAAAACACTAGACATTAAAAATGCTTGAAATTTAATTCAATTTCCACTTTTTTTAAAAAAAAATTATCTTAAAAATTCACTCAGACACAACCAGCTCCATTTGATAAAATCATCAATTTTTCATGAAAATTTATTTAAATAACTTCAAGAAAAATTTTATTAGAAAAAAAGGGAAAAATTTTCATTATCCGTGAAAAGTGCTCAAATTCTTTGCGGCAAGATGTTCTCGAGATGAGTTTTATGCATAGTAATTTTTTTAAATTCTTCTTCATCACTTTAGAAACTGTTTTAATTTTATAATTTCTGCATTATGCGAATGAGCTTAAGATGAAAATTAAAATGAATGGTTTTTTAAGAGCTCGAGAAATTCTTCTGACAGTTTTTTTTTCCTTTTTTTCATCTCAAAACATTTTTTTTAAATATTCATTATTATGAACTTTCATTTGCGGATAAAGTGGTTGAAGGGCAAAGAAGGAAGAAAGAAGAAGCAAACTACATCCTGAACAGTATTCATTCACTCATCCTTAGCTAGTTTTGATGGAATTGATAAAGAATTAGTGAACATTTTAAGACGTTGTCCACAGGATGATGAATTTTAGTTGTTGTGTCTCTGTCTGCTCTGATTTTATGTGACACTATCATCGTTTGGACGTCATAACAATCCAAAAATGTTCTTACAATCCTTGTTCTAGTCAAATTTCATTTTTAAAAACTTAAAATGCGTCACAATCATTTAAAATCTTCATCACTTCCTCATTTTCCATCTTTTAGATTCATTTATGATGAAAAATTGTTGGTATAAGTTGATGTGAAATGAGAAAATGAATAATGAGAAAATGGATTTAATTCTTTAAATTTCTTCTTCTTATTTAAAATCCACAATTTTTTTATCTTCATAATTTTTTCCCCACATTTAATTTTTTTGATGAAGGAAAATTACGAAGAAGATGGATAAAAAAATATCCAATCAAAATTGAAATAATTAAGAGATGAGATGAGAAAACGAATGCAACAGATTTTTTCAATATCCTTATTAATTGAGTGGAATTGAAGTGGGTCAGTTTTGAGTGATTGGAACTATTCGTAGAATTAATATTGATATTCATTTAAATTGAAAATTTTTCTTTTCTTTAAGATTCATAATCGAATATTGCAATCTTAAACATAACTTAGAAAATATTGCTTCGATGAAGGCAGTTCCTTTGATTCATCACATCGCAGCTCTGTAAACTGTGATAAAATTACTTAAATGTTGTTCTGAGTTAATCCTTAAAAAATCATCTGAAGCTTAAATGCTGAAATAATAAAAACTGAAGAATGTTTCATTTGCTCATTTGAGTTTCAAACAATTTTTAAGCAATGCATAATTTTATAAAGAGTCTTATTGTCTTAATATGAAAATCAGATCAAAAGAAAAAAATTTCTATGGTTTCAATTTTTATGAATGAAAATTAAAATGAGCATGAATATTCCAGATTCTTAAAGCTGCATAAATTATTTGAGACTCATTTGGTTGGGGATTGAGTTTTTGACATAAAAATGTCTGGTCTAGAATGTTAAATTTCTTCTTAAGTTTGTGATTTTTATCAATTCTTCTGTGAATTTACTAGTTCAATATTTTTATGTTGCTGTGGAGACTATGACTGGTATCAAAGCATTTAGGTACTAGACCAGAACCAGATAAGTTTTCTATAGTTTACAAACAAATGATGTGAGTTACAAGATACAACAATCACCAAAAAATGCGCCAAAAACTTCACTAGACCTCACAAGTTTAATATTATTTTCAATCCCGTTCACAAAAGACGGATTTTTTTCCCCGATAAAACAAAAGATGCATTGTAATACTAAAAAATTATAAATTCCCATTTTTAATTAAATTGTTGTTTTGTGAGCTGAAAAAAAATTATTTGTGGCATAAAGAGATGAACTAACGATGCTTCAAATATGGAAGAAGAAAAAAATTCCGGAAGCACTAGAAATTATGCAATTAATTAAAATAAAATTGTAGTAAAGAATGGGGAGATTGATGAAAAGAAGGATGATTTTGGAGAGTATGTGATGATGTAGGGTACTTCAGGATGTGATGTTATATTGCTTCTGCTTGTGTTATTCAATTCATTTTAATACGTACATTCAGTAAGTCAGAATTAAGGTCTAAAATTTTATTTTTCTAAAAGTCTGAATACGCAGCTTATATGAGGTCTTATTAATCCTTCACTTGACCAAACTATTGGTTTTATTTCTGTTCTTAAACTTCCATTTAAACAACCATTCTTCATGTCAGACTCCTAACCAAGCATACAAGATAATCAATCTTATACAGTCTCTTTCATCCTCAATTTCTGTTCCAATACTCAATAACATCCTTCATGTTAATCTCTAATGATGCTCAACTTTTCTATGTTTTTTGAACTCTAATTGCCTTTTAATTTTTCCAAACATCAAGTAGCTTAAAAATGACCAGTCACAATCAAAGCGAGTGAAAAAGAGAGATACATTGGAAGTTTACCTATGTTCAATTTTGTTTTATTGACAGATTTACAAATCGATTGCTACCTTTTATTTTATTCAACTAGTATTGTCCTTTTCCAGCTTCTGTTTTTACATCTAAAATGTGTAGATTGAGAGATTTTATTTCTTTATTTGGGGAACTTAAATTGCAAGAAAAATGAAAATTGGTTTTAAGGTTGAATTTTTTTTGGAAAATATGTTTTGACCACTTTGAAGCTTTGAATTAAATTGCATCATAGATTGGGAGGAATAGGAACATAATGTCTCTTAGTGATAGTCTACGTAGACAACCTTTCCCAGTTTAAAAATGCGTCGTGTCAACGACCATATCCAATCCCATCCCCACCATTTTCTTTCACTTTTTTGTTTATTCAATCGTGATTTAATTTTATTTTACCAGAATTTTTTTATTTTTCTTTGATTTTCCACATTACAGGACCTTCAATTGAGCATTTTCCCCCTTTTTTTTCCTATAATCTCAAATATATTTATTTATCAATTATGCTTCAATAAATAGCTTAGTAATTTCTATAAACATTTTTTATCCAGCAATGCATCTTTATTGGAGCTGAAATGGAATGTTTTTCGCTACCATGATTAAAGGTATTTGAAGATTTATTGAAATTTATTTGCTGAGTGTGTCACTCATTCTCGTGATGAAAAAATATATATTTTTATGCAGCAGTTGAGCAATAAATCAAATTATGTTGCTGCAGTCAAAAGAGGTTTTTTAAATGCGTTGGATGGAAATAAGTATGGAAATGGTTGTGACAGTAAGAGGTGAATGGTAGCGCAGTGCTATTTGACAATGCTCAATTCAGCATTAAGTAAATATGTGATGAGGATGTTCTTGTGTATTTATAATGATGAATAATTCGATTCCTTGCTTTGTGGAACTTGTTTTTTTTTCATATATCATAATCCGAGAAGTTGCACAGTCTCATTGAGTTTATTTTTGCTCTGAATATTAAGGAAGAATCCATCTCTTATTAGTGCAACCAATTGAGAATCTAGCAAACTCGAATGAAAAGATAATTGATGAAATTTACTGTATTTTATCCTTAAAATACTGAGCCTCATTAGAGTTGTAAAAGTCAGAAGAACATCTTTTGGTAAGCACCTATGAATAGATAAAATTTTCTTTTCAATAATCTTCTCAAAACTAGTTTTTTATTAATTTTAATGATCCAAATCCATGCTGATAAGAAACTTAAAAGTTCCAATGTAAAACTTTATGTTTTTCTCATTACTTCCAACCTAAAAACTTCTCAATTACATTGCATAAGTAGCGATATAAAGACTATTATTCAATTTTAACAAGGTACATATGAACATGTCTAGAACACACATCCACAAAATATTATTATTTTTCTCCTTTATTCCTGATTGCATCTTATCCAACTCCTTTTCATACACAAAAATTGCAATATGATGAGATCGCATGAAAAGTTTTCTTCTTAACTTCTTATTTCCTATTTCCTTTAAATTGTCTGACAAGAAAATTCGCTTAATCCACATGAATAAACAAGTTGATGATGAGAAGACGTAGAGGATGAGGATGTCAGACCTATGTAAGCATAAGAAAATATGTTATGTTGAATGTTGTTAAAAATTTTCGTAGGCAAAAAGATGAAACATAATTGGAATTTTTTTCCCTTTTTAGCGAGTTTTCTTTTAAGTGATGAGGGTTGAGCTATTATGCGGTTTAAATTGTCTGTCTTGTTGTGATTTGTTTAATATGGAGAAATTAGAATGACTTTGAATCTTGAAACATATGTGATTAAGAGTTATTGGTGGGATTAATGTACTTTTTTTATTAAGGTTGTTCGCAATTAGATTGACAAAAGCAATATGAAAGTTGCTTCTTGTAAGAAATCAGATGGTGGTTTTTTTTAAGAATTGAACCCATAGCGACAGTTTTATGCTCTTACAAATGTATACTCTAAGGTCGCTTGGCTGAATGTAAACCTAATCTGCTTCTTTTGTAAGAAAACTTAAACATTAACAAATGATAAGAATGCTTTTAAGCAGAGCTCGCATGAGTCGATGAAATTTTGTATGGAGTCGAGTTGGCACGGAGTGGAGTTGACTCTCCCATACAAAATCGATGAAAATCTCGAGTCGACTTCGAGTTCTGCTTTTAAGTAAGGTTAAGTTGAATATTTATAGAATTTTTGTTCGAACTTACAAATGTCGTTCAATTGTCAGATATAGCATCTTAATTAAAAGTTCATCATTGATCACAGGGATTGAAATATGTTTAATTGGACTATAAATTAGATTTTA